ACTTAGCCTCATTCAGATGCTGTTAGTTTTAAGCCAGTTGAATATGCAATTGTGGAGAACAAGAACAAAGTTAGATATACTTATTGGATATGTGAATGATATGCTGCAAATATATTGTCAGTAATTATTAATTATGTCTAAAAGGAAAAGTATAATTAGGTGTTCTAGGAATGGAACTTTATTGTGGATAAAGAAGTAAAGCGATATTTTAAAAAATCTTTATTGTTGAGAGTATTATAGGTGTCCCCTCTTTTTTCTCCAAGAATTAGATCCATCTCCTCTTGACTCCCATTTACATGGCAACCATATTCTATGAACCCCTAATCAGAACCCCTTTTTATATATAGATAGATGGTTGACAGTGTGATAATATATTTAAAATATAATAATTTTAAAAAATCTGAAACAAATTCATTGCCTGATTCATAGGTGAAAGAGGTGCAGAACATTTTTCTAACCTGAATTCAATGAAATACTGTATTTTTAAAATTTCTATGAAAAGGTTGGCTTGGATAAAGTATCAAGGGAAAAATGCCATTTTGGCAACATAATGGCACATAAATTCTGTAAGGAGGCTTGCCATCTTAGACATACTTGGTATCTTTAAACACAAAGCACTGCCGAAACCGGTTTGGCTCAATGGATAGAGCGTCGGCTTGGGGACTGGAGGACCCAGGTTCGATTCCGGTCAAGGGCATGTACCTTGGTTGCGGGCATATCCCCAGTAGGGGGTGTGCAAGAGGCAGCTGGTCGATGACTCTCTCTCATCGATGTTTCTAACTCTCTATCTCTCTCCCTTCTTCTCTGTACAAAATCAAATAAAATATATTAAAAAATAAATAAATAAACACAAAGCACTAAAAATTCAACATCTAAAAGCATTTATTCATTGATTTATGTTGTTGTTTAATAATGGGTTGTTTAATAATCAAGTATTGTCCCAAGGAGTGTCACAATTCAGGCCAGGGATTGAACAATAAAAAAGCTCAAAACATTTAATTATTGAGAGCATGTGATATTTAGTATCTCAAAAAAAAAAAATGTACCTGCCTTTGTCAGAAATTGCCCATTGGCAGCTTGAAGTAACACCCCAAGTAACTCAGCTTGAAGTATCTACAATCAGAAAAAAAAAAATGTGTTCCTTGGAAGAGGCAGTGAAAAGTCTTTAGAAAACTGGGTTAGGATGGATTTGAACAGATCTCTTTTCTTACACTGCAAAAAGCCTTTAGTTTGTTGTCATATCTCCAAGTGGGATCAGCCTGTAGCAATTTCAGTTCCATTGCAGGGGCTGCACCTCTTCAGTGATAAAGCAGAAAAGCTCTACATCTGGACAAAGTAATCACCACCATTTGTAAAGCGATTGTAAACATCAATGAATTCCTCTGAAGTAAAGGTGATAAAACTCAAGTCTTCAGTTGGTTTAAGCTAAGAAGAATGATATTTCTCTTTTGTAACATTTAATGATATGTATTCACTTCAAAACATTTATGACATGCCAAATAATGCAATGATGCTTGCTCTCTATTTCCCTGGGCATACAGAGCTCCTAGTGAACCCTCTAATAGCTGAGAATTTGATGTGACATTCAGGTAGACATTGCGTTATTTTACAGAGACGGTTTTCTATAGAAAGGTTTCCGGTGATCTTGCCACTTGCTCTCATTCCCTGCCATTTCTTCCTTTGCACTTTAAATCCTAATGAAAACTGAACTCTCCAGCTCCAACTAGAGCCTATTGCACATGTGTGTCATTATTTACACTGTCCCCTCCATTTTACACATTTTTTACTCTGTGCAGCTAACTCCTGTTGATGCATCAAAATTCAACTCAATGCCATCTTCTCTAAGTGGCCGCTTCTAACCAGTGGGTCTGGGTGAGGCTCACTTCCCATGCCACTCCACCTCTCTGCCCAGTCCTTCTGATACTGTGGGCCATGTCTATCTCCCCTTATGGACTGTGATCCATTTAACAACAAGGGCCACTGCTTTGTAAATCCTCGGTGCAGTCTGTGGCTCCAGCACTGTATGTAATTGATTAATTAATTCATTGAACACTCACTGGAACACATTGATGAATATCATAGCTTCCTGCTTTCCAGGACTTTCACTTTAATGAAAAGATGAATATACAATAAATATATGATTTTAAGGCAATAGAACAGCTCACAACAGAGTGGAATAAATTAGATTGGAAATCATGGATGTCTTTGGGAAAAGGACAATGAAATCTGAGACCTGAAGAAAAAATAGGAGTTTCTTAGACAAAGGATGGGGGGTGGGAGGAGAATCCCAAGCAGATGAAAGAGCATATACTGAAGACCTTGTGTAGAAAACCTCTATTAGGGCTTTAAAAAGGCTTGATGTAGGTTATCAAGGAATACTTCACATATAATACTATACAGTTCTCAGGGTACATCTTGAAATTTTAACATGAACATATGCTCATGCAATCACTACCCAGAATGCAATCACTACCCAGATTAAGATAGAGAACATTTTCGTTACCCCTTAATTTTTTTCTTGTTTCTTCTATTCTAGGCTGCTCCACTCCAGAATGTAACCACTCTTCTGGCTTCTATCACTCTTAGTAATGCTTTTAAAGAACTGAGAGAAGTTCAGTGAAACACATGTAGGGAGCAAGGGGGATAGTAAAGAGTGGGGATGCAGAGGCAGGTGGGCAGAGCATAAGACAACAGAGAGGCTTGACGACCAGGTTCAAGTTGTGGCCTTTTGACCCAAGTGAGTAAGCTATGAAAGATGTGAGCAAAGAGGTGAGATGATTGGATTCATGTATTAATGGCTGTGTTAATGAGAGGGATTAAGAATGGAAATAAAGGGATTAGCTAGGGAGTTAATGTAATATTCCAGAATGGTAGCAAGGGCTAAGGAATATCATGAGGATGGAGAAATATCAATAGATTGAAGATATATTTTGAAGTAACTAGGCACTCACTAAACCTTTATTAAATTTAATTCTACTCTTTTAGTAAAGAGCATCATTTAAAAACCATGTTGACATTTAAACAGTTAATGTTGCTGAAGGCTCATAGAGATGCTGTCTCAACTGGAAGTTGTAATTATTATTTTCTATGTTAATAAAGTATACTTCATAATGAATTAACTTTCTTTTTCTATCTACAAGGGAAATATTGCTTGAAATTTTCCATAATAACTAGCTGAATGTTGCCTTTTGGTCATGAAAAAAATTTTTTTTATTTGTTTTGTAAAGAGTTTAAAATTATTATTAAACATACGTGTTTCCATATTGACTTATTCAGATACTCAAAATACAACTCACTTTGCCACAAAAAAATAAAAATAAAAATGAATAGAGGTTAAATACTCTAAAGAAATATGCCATTGAATACCTCTACCCCTATATTAGAATTGAAGTATTTAAGGAAAATAATTCTATGCCAAAAACCCCTGAAAACATTTACTTTTTCTTAGGTGAACATCCTATCATTTAACAAAAATATTTTTAATTTGCTTGTATTTTTTTTTTTTTGAACAATCAATCGCATTTCTCCACATAGTCTACTCTGATTTTGTTTGTGATCGGTCTGGAAACCTGATGAATGCTTTGCATTCTTTATCAAAGTGGTAAAACAGAGTGTAAAAACCCGGCAAGGTTACTGCATTAGTTTCCTAGAGCTGCCATAATGAAATGCCACAAGCGGGGTCATTAAAACATTGGAAATGTATTTTCTCACAATTCTGGAAGTCAGAAGTCTAAAATCAAGGTGTCAGCAGAGCTATGCTTCCTCTGAGGCTCTGAATATAATCCTTCCTCTCCTCTTCCTAGCTTCTGGCGATGGTTTGCTGGCAATCTTTGGCACTCCTTGGCTTATAGAAGCCAATTCTCTGTCTTCGCCTGTGTTCCCCCTGGGTTTCTGTGCCTTCACATGGCATTCCTTAGGACACTAGTCATATTGGATTAGAGACCTTCCTACTCCAATATGACCTCAACTAACCTACTTATATTTGAATAAACCCCTTTCCAAATAAGGTCACAATCTGAGGTACTGGGGCTTAGGGCATCATTGTACTTTTTTTCCCCCCCCTGGATAGAGGGCACAATTCAACTTTTAACAGTTACCAAAACCAATAAAAGTAAATGCCTTTGCCTCTGGCAAGTTACCTTGCAGGACATCTCTTCACTTTCTACATATATTTCTTCATTACATGTAGAAAAATAACAAAATAGAGATATTAAAAGCGTGTGTGTGTGTGTGTGTGTGTGTGTGTGTGTAAACCTCTACAAACCTAGAATGGATCCCATCACTTGCTAACCCCACAGACATGGAAAACTGTGCAAATTGTGTTTAATATTTCCATTTCCATACTTAGTTCCTTTTATTGCGGCATAGTGATTGGTAAACTTTTCTTTGACTAGTCTATGCATATTTTTGCCATACCAGAATACTATTTTTCATTTTCTTTCTCTATTGGAATTTAATATAGGTAAAACTAAGTGGTATTCTAATGAATGGCTTTTGTTTCTACATCCTGGGTAAGATAGGTTACTAAATATCAAAGTGCTCAACAATTTTGGCTTAGGATGGATTTTAACTGTTTTTTCCTTATGATGGGAACATACATCATGTGGTGAGCCTTACTACTCTAGACAGGAGATCTGAATAATTCAGTTACTTTAGTTCTGAATTTCCTCAGAAACCTGATTCCACCCCCCACCCCCCACTAAATTCTCTAATCATTTGATAATACCCAGCCAACTTTTAACACACACCCCTATGAGGGAAACAGAGATAAACTAATCCCTATACCTAAAGATCACTTCCTGAATAACTAAATCAAAGATTGTTTTTCCTGGCTCCTTTTCTTCTATACCTTTCACTTTGGATTATGGTGTATTCAAATACAGGAATGAGCTGAACAGATTGAGAGGGCAAATAAATATGTCGGGATATTAGAGTCATTCTTGTATCCTCTACTGTGCTTTTATGATTTATATTTGTTTTTTTATGTATTTTTATTTCAGCCGAAAGAGACATCAGTGTCTACTGTGGGGTGCAGGCCATTACAATGAAGATTAATTTTTGCACAGTACTTTTCTCCGGTTATTCTGAAACAGATCTTGCCCTGAACGGAAGGCATGGGGATTCCCACTGCAGGGGGTTCATCAATAACAACACCTTTCCTGCTGTGGTTATTTTCATCATCAATCTCAGCACCTTGGAGGGCTGTGGCAATAACTTAGTGGTAAGATTCGTGTAGAATAGTGTGCTGGGTTTGAGGTCATAACTGAAAAAAAAAATCCAATTCCATGAAATAACCAGAAGTTCAATCTATCTTTCAAGAGAAAATTCCAATAAAACTGAACAAATCACTTTCCTTTGCCTGCTTGAGGTGTCTGCTCCCAAACATACAATTTTATTTTTTCAAAAATGGTTTTCTTTATTGTAGCTGGGCAGTTGAAGGACCTGAGAGGGGCTGTGCTACTCTGAGCAACATTATTTTGTGTGAATGACAATGATAAATATTTCTCTCCAGTCTGTCATTAGCTACATTCCTCATGCTTTTTATGGAAGTATCTTATCATACAGAAATTATTTGTACCAGTGAACTCGGCAATGAATCCCTTGGCCTATTGCTTCTTAGTGACCTCATTCAGAAAGAAAGATAAGGGTAGAAGGGAATTTTTAGAATTATCTAGGTTTTTGTTTGTTTGTTTGTTTGTTTAACATTGAATAATTCACACCAATGTTTTGTAAAAAAGGGCTGTCAGCATATCCAGTGTGAAATTCTCCATTGTGTGAGGCTGTCCTTTGAATTTCCTAATGCTTATCATTCCCAATCTTACCCATGAAATCCCAGTAGCACTCTTTCTAGTCACTGAGAATATCAAAACATCACTTCAAATATCTCCACCCAGAATAAGAACTACTAGTATGAGTCTATGCTGTCCCTTTACTTATTCATGCATTGAACACCAAAAATAGAATTGAATAAACCATTGGCTCTCCTGGGAATTAAAATTAATTGAAGTAAAAATGTTATGATCTGGGGAGTTACACTGAGATTCATTTTGTAATGTTTTTTTTTTTTCATTTTGCTTACTTAAATACAATATTATTGATAAATCCTAGCAAAGACAAAAATGAATTATGATGAGCAAGGTCACTTAGCCTAGTGAAGAAAGAGAAATTGGCTTTTCCTCTTCATACATTATTGTTTGGGATTATGTGGGAGGCTTGCTTATTCTGAGGGCAGAGTTTCTAAGACTTGGTGAGAGAGAACGATAGGAAAAAGAGACTTTTTTATCTCCTCCCAGGAGTCTGTTAAAATATTGTGCCCATGACCATCCCAACCCCACAGCTTGAGTGTTGTTGACTCTTTATTAAAAACATTTATTCATCTCTCTGAGTTGTGTGCAAAGAGGTTATGAAGTGGCTGGCCTAAGGGCAATGGTGCAGGTTGATTATTACATGTCTGTTTCCTGGTGGAGAGAGCAAGCCCATGTGGAGAGCAGCAGCCATTGCTCTGCCCCCACCATACCCCAAGGCCTTCCTTCACTAAGCTTTCTTTTCTGGTTTAGTCTTGCCCTGCTTCCTAGAAAATAATTCAGGTGAAATTCCAGGCAAAGCACGTGTGTGTGTATTTCACAGACAGAACTGGTATGCTTAGCAAGGGGTCAGATAAGTGGTGAGAGGAGAGGAAAATCTTCTTGTTTTCTGATTTTGTCTTTGATGTCAGCAGCATTGGAGTCTATTCCAAAGATAATCCTTCATGGAAAAAAATTAAGTAGACTAGTAATTACTTGAATTTGAATCAAAGTGTTCATAATGATCTGGCTCTGTTCATGAGTTATGAGCACATTAGCTTTGCCCATGTGCCCCTAGGTTCATATATATCTAAAGTTTATTCTGTCATCCAAAATTAACTACTACAGGTTTCCATAATATCTGCCACAAATATTTATTGAGTGTCATATAGGTATTTGACATAGTGAAAGAGGCTGCATTCCTCTATGATATTATGAAGGTCAAGAGCATTACCTTATTATGATTATTCTTAATATGGTATGGTAGTTCTTAAATTTTAGTGGGATTGGAAAGTACAGTGAAAGCAAATCAGTCCCAGGAAAATACACACATGGACTATACTTTGGGGAGTTCGTGATTCCTCTGAAACCCATGTATGAACTATTGCCCTGGACGGAGATAGAATCTGTATGTACCACAGAGGAAGACTGGCTGAGAAGATCGACTCTCAGAACATTTGTGACCTTAAATCATTTATTTATCTTGGGATCCCAAGATGCTGGCCTCACTGGGCTATACTGAAGATATGAAGGTGAAAAAGGGGGTGTGATTATGGCTGAGCAGACTGCCAAGTCAGGAGGCTGCTCATGCACTGTGGCCACTCCTATGATGGAGATAGACATTGCATGTGCAGGGGCAGGAGGGGGTCAGAAGTTTCCTAAGGAAGATGAGATGCAAGGCAGGAGTAGGATATGTCATGATGAAGTGGGAAAAGAGGAGGCAGAGGGGTTCGCACAAAGCCCTGAGCAGTAAGGCCCAATGGGTCTGGGGCATTATTATTAACCAAGAGTGGGAGTCTGGAGATATGAAGGTCAAGTGGAAAACAAGATCAGATTAATAGGAATCTATTAAACCATGCCACAGAATTTGGAACTGTCATGAACATTTTCAACATCTTCAATTACTTATTGTAGCACTATGAACATATAATCTCTTTTTTATTTATGAACTGCCTTTGGTAAATATAAAGTTTCATTTATTTCAGACACATATAATCACTTCAAGATAGCATTATGTTTGTTTAATTTCCAATCATGATATGTTATAGTTGAAAGAGACCCTAGTAATGATCTGGTCTAATGTTTTATTTTGCATATAAAATGCTGTGATTTATACATAGCTATTTACCATCTCAACAGGTATCCACAGTCCCTGGAGCCAGTGCTTATGGAAACACAACTTCAGTACAAATAGGAAATATTTCAGGATACATTGATACTCCAGATCCACCAACGATCATCAGCTATCTACCTGGGCTTCTTTACAAATTTAGTTGTAGTTATCCATTGGAATACCTGGTTAATAATACACAGCTTGCTTCGTAAGTTGCATTTTATTCTTGGTGTCTCATATTGCCTTTATGTTTGAGTCATTTCTTATCCTTAAAGGAATTATAAAGATTTATAAGAATTTATTTAGAAGAATTTGTTGAGAGTAGCGTTGGCAACCCTATTAGGCCTTATCTATCTACCATCTATCTAAATTGTTATGGTACATATCAAAAGCTCAAGAGATAAAATATATATTATATTTTATATACTTATTATATATATTTCCCTCCAAATTAAACCTCAAACTAATCAGGTGTCTGCCTCAGGTTCTCTTTGCATCCTTCAAAATAGTCCAAGTACCTAAGGACTCTGGGTGCTTGTGCAGTCCAGAAGGACCTGTCATATTTCCAGTGTGTAGAACATTCAGTGACTACCTTGTTGGGTTTGTATGCCTTCAGTCTTTGCTATGTATTCATGGTTGTATTCTGCTGTCTCAGAATCTGAGCTGTCACCTGCCCAGATGCTGATGATTGGCAAAGAAAGGTGGCATGGCCCAGAGCCAAAGAGCTCCAGCCATAGACTGATTTCATAGCCTTTGTTTATGTATCATTTTTCCAAAAACACATATTTCAAGACAGGGTTATATCCACATATTATATAATAAAGCCTAATGTACTAAGTGTCTGGCCATCTGGTCTTCTGTTCAACCAATCAAAGTGTAATATGCTAATGATATGCCAAGACCACTCAACTGCTTGCTATGAAGTGCACTGACCACCAGGGGCAGATGCTCCAACCAGTAGGTTAGCTTGCTGCTGGGGTCTGGCTGATCAGGACTAGGCGAGATGAACAGTACACACCCTGGAGCCCTCCCATGGTCTCTCCCCAGCTGGCCAACCTCCTGTATCCCTCCCCAGCCCCGATTGTGCACCAGTGGGGTTCTTTGCCAAAACTAGTGCACCAGTGTGGGATCAGGCCAAAACTAGGTCTCCAACATCCCCTGAGGGGTCCCAGATTGCGAATTTGTGGACCAGGCTTCTAGTTACAAAATAAGCATTTAAATTTGTAAAGTATCTTTGATAAAATGGGGTGTTCTATAGGAAATCTTCCTTCTCCAATTCAGGGTTTTCTATCACAAAAATATAGCTGTTTAATCTTAGTTATAAGGAAATGTGAAGAACACATTTTGCGTCAGATAAAAAACATTCATAGCTGATTTTAATGGCATAATGATGTTAAATATTTTGGTCAAAAACAAGTTTTTAATATGGAACACAGGACAAGAAAGTCCTTGAGTCTAACAGAAACAGGTGTAGAAAAAAGCACACACTCTTTCTCCACACTAACATACCTGAGCTCCACTGTGCATGGACATTCATTCAATTATTTAATAAATATTTTTTATACATCAATATTTACCATGCCATGTTCAAGTAATGAACAAAGTAAAAAAAAATCTTTGATCTCATGAAACTTCTAATTGAATTAATGAAAATATATTTGCATCAGATTCAAATTCTGCAAAAAGTATCATATAGATAATGCAAAATGGGGGTAAAGATGCTTTTATAAATAAAAAATATAAAGGATAGTTTATCTTTACTTTTGGCTATTCTTGCTGTTTTATTATCTATCTCTAGTAATTTAAACCATATGCCCACTCCAGCCAGGCCTTACTTAAAAATATGACAGGCCTACTTAAGAATTTTATTGCCTTAAATCTAACCTTAAGGTATAGCTGGAACTTTTAGTTTGAAATTCCATCAATGTGTTTTCCCCCCCTAAATCTATTTTAGGTCCTCAGCTGCTATTTCTGTAAGAGAGAACAATGGTACATTTGTCAGCACTTTGAACCTGCTCCTTTATAACGTAAGTTGATGGGTGAAGGATGCTATTTTCTCTGCCACTGTTCTGAGGGACCATTTATTCAAATGTATTTTATATAAAAATCTACTTAAAGCCACATTAACTTTGTTTTCCTTTGGTACATTTATCCATCTTTCCTACCATTTTCATATATCTTGGTAATAAAGGTGTTATAAAAATTCATTATTTCCTAAAAGTTGATAAATGACTTAACTTTATTTCATAAATGTGATTCTGCACAGTTATTCTAAGTGTCTCTCTACTTTTAAGTATATATGTTTATTTATGTGTGTGTGTATGTGTGTGTAGCCACAGTCAGGGCCAAGATTTGAAGAATAATAAATTTGTATTAAAAAGTTAAGAAAAATCCAAATGACACTTCTCTTGAAGGCATACTTGGTTATGAATGTGTTAATATCTTTAACATGGCTTTTGACTGATGTCAATTCTGTCACATTTAAAATAATTTGGGTTGACTACATAATATTACCTAAATGTTCATCATGTAAATATCAACAGTGGCAGCAAAATATGAAAAGTACATGGATTTCTATTTATAACTCTAACATTAATCCTTTAAATGATATTTTCATGTTGATTAAAAAAATTTATTCATACATTTTAAATGCCTGATTTAAATATCAATTTTTCAATCTATCAACCAACATTTCTGTAAATTATGAATCTGATTTTTACATTATTATTCATGTCATCATGGCACTGAGTTATAATTCATGCAACTGATTTAAAAGTCAGTGCTTTATACTTTGAATATAATGAGCTATAAATATTGTAGTAGGACATTTTCCAAAGGCATTTTAAAAATCATGTTTATAAGTTTGTAGTCTGACACCACAGAGTTCTAAACAACAAATTAAAATCTATTGGAATGAAGATTACTTTTGTTGGTATGATTTTCTGTCATTTCTAAACTTTCTTGTGTAAGGGGCTGCTAAGTTACTTGGTTCTATAATTTCAGCAAATATGTGCCAATATCCATACCCAATATGACCAAATGTTTATTATTATTGTGAACAATATTTTAATTTGAAAAGTTTCTATTTTATTGATTTGAATGTATAAGCTCCTTGTGTCAAAATGACTGGTGTGGATTCACTATTATTTGTTATAATTGAGTGAAACAAGAATGATAATTTCTTGTCTTAAAAAAGTGAAAAATATATCCACATGGCATTTTATAACCACACTAGGGGCTCAGTGCATGAATTCATGAACCTTAAAAGAAACTGTGGGCTGCAAGGCTGCAGTGGGCACAGGGGTGGGTCTTGGCCCATCCTCTGCGCCCCTGTCTAGCCTCTCCTGTCTTGGCCTCTGGCAGCCCCAATCCCACTGCTGCTCCTCCCAAGTGCTGATTGCGCCAGTCCCCTTGCACTCACTGACATTGTGGAGCGATTGGGGCTAGTACCAACAGCGGGTGCTAGCTGGGCTAGCGCCATTAGTGGGTGCTAGTGGCAGCTGCCAGCCTAGATAGCCCCTCAGGGGCGATTGGGGTAATCAGCCACTGCTTTCACCTACTGATGGTGCCAAAAGATCAGGGCTGGTGCTGGACACCAGCAGCAGGTGCAAGCAGTGGCTCCAGTGCTGGCAGCAGGAGCAAGCACCATGCAGGACCATGACATGCAGGAGCAAAGAATTTTCAGTGACTACCAGAGGCTTACCCTACTAACAGTGACCAGCATCCCGCCTTGGTCTGGAGTCCCCTGCTCACCTGCTCCACCATCCTGCTGTGGCTGACACCAGCCATGTTCCACACATGCCCCCTGGTGGTCAGCACATATCATAGTGACCAGTTGTTCAGTTGTCCCATCGTTCAGTGTATTTGCACATTACCCTTTTATTATATAGCATATCCTGTGAATTAAACTATTTTTCATTGGAAAAGCAGAAAATAAAAATTTAGACATGATAATTTGAGGAAAACTACTGTTAAAGCCTTCCCTTTATTATTAAAAATAATGAAATAGTACCATTGCTAACTAGATGTGATTTTTTAGAGAGTTTCTACAATCTTAATGCTAAACAAAAGCCTATAATTTAGTGATAATCTTAAAATTTTAATTCCATGGTAAAAGGTAATGAATTGTTGGATATGAGACTACAGTGAAATAATAGGTAGTGCCAGAATACTTCTCATTTTTAATAACTTTGCAATAAAAATATTACTAATGGTTGGATTAAAAATTAAATTTATAATTCATTTAATAACCAGCTATTTAATAGAGTTCAACCATTCCCCCCCAAAAAAAACTTGTATTTTATTTTTTATTTTTATTAACAGATTATTTTAAGAACAGTTTTAGGTTTATAGATAAATTGACCCTGAAAGTACAAAGAATCCCCACAGATCTCCTCTGTCTGCAGTTAACTTCTATTATTTTGGGTTATGCTTATTACAGTTGATAAAGCAATATTGATATAGTATTAACTGCAGTCCATAGTTCACATTTATGTTCACTCTTAATGTTCTATATTCTGTGGGTTTTGACAAATATCTTTGACATGTGTCTACCTTTACACAAGAGTTTTCGGCCCAAAATTACTTTAAAAAAAAAAAAAAACATAAAAAAACCCACATGGGACTATAATAATATTTTGCCAAGTTATAAGACATCAAAAAGCTAGTAATTCGTAATAAAAATGTTTTATTATACTTTCACTAATTAATCTCAAATCATATTTATTACTTGTTGGAAATACTAACATTTAGCTACCCAAATGTAATTTTATTATAGCACTTCAAATTAAACATTATTTTAAAACCATTAGGAGTCCTACCTTCCTATTTCACATGCAGGCTCTTATTTCTAACCTTTAAAAATGATGAAAAATTACATTATGTACTTACTACTTTTATTCTCTGTTTAGTCATTTGGAGAGGAAATTTATGCTACCCAATTGGGATTCAGTGCAATTGTTTATTTCTATGTGTTCTGGGATTCAGTAAATATTACTTGGAAAAAATTATTTATAAAAAGTAATGACTATATCGACTATTGTATTTTCATATATGTGAATCTGAGTTGAACTGTGACCTTATTTCTGTGCAATATAAGTATATCGTTTTTCTCCTCTGCAAAAATAGGATCTTGTGAATTTAAATTGTACCTAATTATTAGGTGTCTTATAAGCAAATTCAAAAATAGTGAAACTGAAATAATGAATGTTTTTAAAAATTGAATAAAAAACTAAAATAAATGCAATTTATTTTAGAGACAATATTGTACTCACAAGAGTAAAGGCAACTATCCAAAACAGAGAACTTTTAGAAGCAATTTTAGGAGAAAAAAAATGTGACGATTCATGATTAAACTACATTATTTGCAAATGACATTGCAGTATAATATTTGTAAAGAAGTAAGTTTCTTCTGGGCAATATTGATGCACATATAAGAGAAAAGTGCTGGGTAGTTAGGGAAAAATTACTAGAAAGTTTGAAAAGGGAGGGTTTAGGATTTGGCCAGTAAGTGACAAGGACTGTGAAAGAATTCACAACTGAAAGAACCGATGTAGAGAGAAAGTTTATTTTACTTTCCAGGGTAGGAAAGGACCAAGTGTTGCTGGGCAATACAGCTCAGGGAAGAGAGGGTGGCCTACTCTTTTAGGCAGTGGCTGTTTCTAAGCGACAAGGAAGGAAGGGGGATTCTGTGGCAGGTGAACAGATACCAGGGGTTGTCTTGAAAAGTTACCATTTGTTTGCTTTCTAGGAGATAGTACCACAGATGTCCTAGGGGGGTATCATATCAGTATTTCTCCCAAACCTGTAAAACAAGCTTAGATAAAAAGTTATAAATAATTTAAAAGAGGCTTGTTTAAAGGAAAGGAGAATAGGGGAACTTTCTACTAAGTAGAGATAGAGACTACTTGGTATGAATTATCCTTGTGCTGTGGAAACAGCAGGGGGAGGGGGATGCAAGAATGTAGCCTTGAGAATAACTTATCTTGTAGCACAGTATGAACAGAGGAGCTAACAATCATGGGTTTAGTTACCAGGTGTTTTTCATAAATTGTGGAAGGCCACAACAAAGAAAAGGAAAAATCTTTTTCTGTCCCTACAGGGAGTCAGAAAGATAATTAAATAAAAATACTACCTATCTGAAATGGCTAGAGGAGCTATTATCATTTAGCACAGAAATAAAGAAAATAAGTACAGGCCATAATCTCTCATTTATCCAGCTTATTTGGGAATGAAATAATATTCCACATGATTATAACTTTTAAAAAAGTTAAACATACAAACTATTACTGTTTTAATTTTAAAAATTCAAAATCTGTTGCTTTTTTTCCAGCCTTTTAAAACATGTGCTCTGTATTTTTTTCTTGCTTGCTTGATAACTTTGAAATTGCATAGTGAATATTTAAAAATTATTTTTGCTACAAAATAACAATAACTTCAGAGTTACTGAATTTGAGAAAAATAATTTACCTCCAGAAAAAATGATTTGACAGTTTACAACTATATGTCATGCATTTTGGTAACTTGGAGAACATGTTGGTCTCTTTTTTTTTGGGGGGGGGGGGGGGTTCCTATTAAATTTAGTAATTTGAAATTGTCAGAACAGTGATTTTATGTAAATACTTTCCAGTGTATAGAGACATTCAATCCCCATGGCAAAGGGCTTAAACTAAAGCAGATATAATTTAAATAAACTTTTTAAATAAATGAAATATTAGTTTAAGTAAACTGAGTATTAACAATTGAATATGAAACAAACAAAATATTAACCATTTACTATTAACAATTAAGTATAATTTAAATCCACTTATCTCATATATTATAAACTAGGGAAAAAAGATTTATGCATGGAAAAGAGTTTGTTACTTGGATATGGTTTAGGACAGTTTTGACAAGAACTAGGAGATTAACTAGGTCCTTTTTGGAGTTGGTTTGGTAGGTATACATTGATTTGTCCCCTTTTGGATGGCATTACTGTTTTAAATGGTAAATATACTGTTGTTAGAAAGGCAATAATGTATTGTTTATTTTTTTCATCATTAGGATTCAACCTACAGTCAACAGTTAATTATCCCGAGTATAGGATTGCCTTTAAAAACCAAAGTATTTGCAGCTGTGCAAGCCACTAATCTGGATGGCAGGTACTGTCACACTCTTATCTTTTGCTGTTTAAAACATTTTTGCTGTTTTATGAATCAGCAAAACTTCATGAATCACAAAGTTAACTCATTCTTTTCAATTTCAAAAGTACTGTCATTGCCACAATGTTTGATCATGCTACTAAACAGAAATAACAAATTACAAAGATTAAGGGGTAACACTCATTTTTATGTCATTAATTGGAAAAACAGCGAGTCTTCCTATAAAGAAGGAGAGGTAGTGACTGGAAGAGGGAATGGGAAATCTGAGATGCCAGAATATTCTGTTTTTGGTTTTGTTTTGTTTTTCTCCTGAAAGATGATTAATCAGATGTTATCATTTTGTGAAAACTTATGATTTGTGTGCTTTTCTATTTGTATGTTACTATTCAATTAAAAGGGTTTATTGAAAAATTAAAGAACTCTCTTCATAAGAATCTTGACCAAATTTGTATAAAATAATCCTCAGAAACATCTATGTAAAGAAAAACCACCAAAAAAATCATTCCATTTCCATATGATTAGAAAATTCAGAATGATCAAAATTGAAAGAGAATTCAAACACTAAAGATCCAATCCTCTCCTATAAAAATTTATTATAATATGTAAATGTCTTATTTTGGGATTCTCACATACTATTACTTAAACTTTGTATCCTGAAGATATTATTATACTTTAGAAATTTGGTTCTACATTAGTTTCTCTCTGTCTTATTTTTTTTAACATATTTTATTGATTTTTTACAGAGAGGAAGGGAGAGAGATAGAGAGCTAGAAACGTCGATGAGAGAGAAACATCGACCAGCTGCCTCCTGCACACTCCCCACCAGGGATGTGACCGCAATCAATGTACATGCCCCTGACCGGAATTGAACCTGGGACCTTTCAGTCCACAGACCGATGCTCTACCACTGAGCCAAACCGGTTTCGGCTGTGTGTCTTCTTTTATTGGCATTCAATTCCCATGGACTAGTAATTTTTATAACACCAGAGTAGAAACAAAGTAATGTATAAATGTAGGCATAGTCTGGCTTTGTGGAGGAAGGCCATGTCTTTGCCTCATGGCTTTCTTCTATCCATCACCACTGATTCTGGCATAATGTAGAGCATGTAATTTACACACCGAACTCCTTTGCTGTATGTGGTATTGTAATATTCTTGTCATCTGTTAGAGACAGTAACTTTTGGAAACAAACTACCATTCTTCACAGTGAACTTAGGAACATCTGTGCAGCTCACTTTTGAGTTTGTTTCCTCAGGCTTTGACCGTTCAGTTGCCTTGTACACACAGCCATTTGATGTAGGATGGCAACTTATTACAGATTTTAAAACACCTTTGAATTTAGGAGAATGTCTTAATAATAAGAATCTTCTGCAAATAACTAACAAAACAAAAAAACTATATTTCATGGGGTAAGACTGTTGTCGATATCTATTTGCCTTGCCCAAAGGAATTGTGACTCTAGATTTTTTTTGCCTCTTCCTGCAGATGGAATGTCTTAATGGATTATTGCTACACAACCCCATCAGGGAATCCAAATGATGATATTCGGTATGATCTCTTCCTTAGGTAGGTGTCTAAGTCCTGCATTGATAGCAAAAACTAAATTGTAGGTAATTGAATTGGAAAATACAAATCATTGATATAAGTTATATGATACTTTTATAGTTTTTAAATGTAAAGTTTTACATTTTGATCTTTTATTCCTTATAAAGCTGTAAGTATAAAAGTTGAGACCAGTTTTCAACAGGAAATGCTGATGAGGCTATTGTTGAATGAGAGTTGCAAGTAAGTTAGGTTCATCAAGATGCTTTATTCATGTGTAGGATATATGGGAATATTTCACTGTCTTAGCAAAAACATGGCTAGGCTACTATTGTCAATAAGAGAAAGGCAATGGGGGGGTACTATTTATTCATAGCTACACTTGACTCTTCGCAAGTCAAAAGGAGAGTAAAGTTAAAGTAATGGTCTAGATAATTTAGACCCCAAAATGCTTTTCTCCATTTATCAGTATCTAATATGAAAGTATAAAATAGCCTCTTATTCATTTTTTTTATTAGAGCCAGTAACTTCAACTTCATTCCCCAATAGACAGTGATAGAGTGAATGTAATCTAAATTTGGGGAAAGGGGACATTGATCATAAGAACATTCAATCATCTCAGTTTCCTTTCAGCATTTTTATCTGATAGCAGAACAGACTTGAGAGTCAAGCAATGGCTTCTAATCATCCTTACAAAATGCACTTGGCTCAGATCACTGCTGCTTATTGACACACGATGGGAGTAATATGATGAGAAACCAAAAGAATCTATTTTAATGGCTAATCAAGGTGAAGATGATGTACAGAGGTTATTGTCAAACTGATACTCATATTGTATTGCTGGAAGTGTTAATTTGGGCAATATTTTTGAGAAAGGTTATCAAAATCCTTAAAATATTTCATGTTCTTTGACTTTATGTTTACAAATTGGGAAGCATATTCTAAAATATTGATAATTTTCTGGTCTATCAGTGCTATTTAAAATGGTAAACATGGGAACAAACTGGATGTTCAGCAATAAGGAAATGGCTAGATGAATTACAGAGAACCAGTAAATTGAGAGCTCACCCAGGCACTGCAATCATGTAATTATTTGTAAAATAGAAAAAAAAAATATGGTTGGTTGTATTTTACTTTCTCCCTTTCCGTCTTCTTGGTGTTTCTATATTTGAAATATATAGTTCTTAAAGTTTAAATGTATTAAGTATAAAGTGAAAGAATCATATCTGATTATATGCACAGCTAACTTCATTTATGTTATATATGATAGAAAGGACTGTAAGGAAATACATAAAATGGTTAATGGAGATTACTAATGCATGATGAAATTGTGGATAATTTTGTTCTGACATTTTTCTTTTTCCAAAATGTCTATAATAATCACAAATTGCCAATGTAGAACACAATTATCAGACTTCTATCTGGTATGACCCTGGCTTCAGCTTAGTTCTCAAACTTTTCAGTTTTCTTGTTGGAAACTATAGAAGAGTGTGATGAGTAACTAAGAGAAATCTCCAAAATGCCATTTTCAGTAAACTAGGAGGAAAGAAAGCCCATAGAAAACCCAAAATATGATAGTGCTAATAAAAGCAGTTAAGATTAAGAGAAAATGGTGGAATATTCTTATAAATAAACGAGAAACAAAGGGAAGAGAAAACTCAGCTGCACAGTTACATTATTAAAAAAAAATTGCCTGTTATAGCCCATGAATTGGGGAAACCCTTGAGGAAGGTCATTAATATTCTACATTACCCTATGAGTCCTCAAGGTAAAAACGAAACAAACAAATAAACAGGTCTGGGGATATCCAACTCTCTCATATATGAATCAGAGGCCCTGTGCATGAAATTCATGCAGGGGGCAGTCCCCTTTCCCTCATCCTGAGGATCAGACCTAAACTGGCAGTAGGACATCCCTCTCACAATCTGGGACCACTGGCTCCTAACTGCTCACCTGCTTGCCTGCCTGGTCACCCCTTACTTCCTCCCCTGCTGGCCTGGTTGCCCCATACTTCCCCTCCACCATCCTGGTCACTCCTCATTTCCTCCCCTCCTTCCAGCCAGCCTGGTCACCCCACACAGCCGCTGCTCAGTCATTTAGTTGGTTCTCACTAACTCCCTGCTGACCTGGTTACCCCATACAGCCACAAAGTGGCTCTAACGCATACAAAAAATGTAAATAATAATCATCTGGTAGTAGTTTATTTTTCCTATCAAATAGGGGACAATCCAAACATTTTTTTCCCATAGGCATTGTTCCTGTAGCTCTGGGGGAAAATGGGGATTTTTTTTTCATATATTACTGAGGAAGTACAAAAATGTAACAATATTTATAGAGGGCAATGTAGCAAACTCTATCAATTAATCTCACAGATATTGCATAAATACCCTGCATATGTTCAAAATGCTGCATTATAAAGGAAACCTATTATTTACTCAGTTTGTAAAAAGCAAAGTATTCAAGGATACACAATTAGGTAACTAAATAAACTCTGTCAAGTGGAATATTATACAGCTGTGGATAAAGAATGAGGAGGCTCACTAAGTATTGATATGGAAAGATCTTTTATGGTACATTGCTAAGTTAAAAAAAAAAAAAAAAGCAAGGTCCAAACATATAGATTGTGCTACAGCTTGTGCAAGAAGGAAGGAACAATAAGAATTTGTTGCTTGTGCTTCTTTTTGTACATTCCTTGGAAAATACAAGGCAAGTGGGATCACCTCTGGCAGGTTTATATGTGGATGTGACTGTGTGACTAGTATGGACAGGGTCAAAGATGGGAGGATACATATATATATATGTATAAATGTTTTATATATATATATATATATATATATATATATATATATATATATAAAACATTTTTTATTGTTACCATGTAAAATTGCTTCTAAAAATTGACAGTAATATCATAATCAGGAACTGATCTATTTATGTTCTATGATCAAAGTCATTCTTATCACATCTGTTGAGCTAGTTTATTCTCTTATTAAGTGTCTCTAGCATGGCATGATTTTGTTAGTTCTTAATGTAGTAAGGTACTTTTTAAAACTGCAGAGATTTATTTACAAGTCCCAATGGGCTGGTAATTTCCAATAACATCCTGTTTTCACATTCCCTACAATGCAGCTGCGACAAAGATCCACAGACCACGGTCATTGAAAACGGCAGAAGCCAGCAGGGCCGGTTCTCCTTTGAAGTGTTCCGATTTGTGAAGCACAAGAATCAGAAAATGTCCACCGTCTTCCTGCACTGCGTGACCAAGCTCTGCAGAGCTGATGACTGCCCCTTCCTTATGCCCGTATGTTTCTGAGCAACTTTAGTCTAAATTGTCAAATTAATTTAAGCTTACTAATTTCTATAGTGAGAATGGATGTGCATCAGGTCAAACTGTTTGCAGTAGGATTTATTCATTCATCCAGTCGAGATCTATTGAACTCTGACTTTGTGCCTAGCATTGTACTGGGAATACAGAGATGCATGCATGAATTCTGAACTCAGTAAGGTCATCCTTTAGTAGCAGAAATAGTCATGAAATGAAACAAGAGAAAAATGTTATGGCACAAGGCAGATATAGATATGGGCTGTAGTAAGAGGCAGCACCCATCATTGTGAGGAAGACGAAGAAGATATTAGGAGGGCTGGTGGAAGAGATGAACCTTGAGCTGTGCCAGAAGATGGATGGATCGAAAAGGAAAAAATAAACCAAGACTGCAAAAGACACTTCATGCCAAAGAAAGGTCAAAGTCACAGACACTGAAACAGAGTAGCCAGGGAACCTCCAGTCCCACAGTAAGGCTGTGGAGCAGAGTGGAAGGTGAAGGAAAACCTGGGGAGGGGGCAGGACTGGCACTAGAAAGGGAGATTGCCCAGATGGCCTAGGAATCCCTTGGATTAAAAATTAAAAGCTGTAAAAAGTGAGACTCTGAAGAGCTGAAAGCCATCACATAAACTATAGACCCATTTACTATTGAATAAAAAATATTTCCATTGTTGACAGACCTTCTAGGGTCATGTCAATATTAATCTGAGGGAAATATAGGCACATTTTATAAACATGAAGTGACTTAAGTATGTTTATATTTATGTTCAAATTCATGATTTTCTTTATTGCTATAGACTAGCTTAGTTCTAACTAGCTATATCAGATGGGGTTAAATGGAGAGTCCACATTACCTTGGCTCTGTGCCGACTAACATTTCAGGAAAGATTTATTAAAGGCTTGAGAGAAATAAAAGAGGGAAAGTTTGATAAACACAGCTCTTTTTTTTCAGGAGAGCCAGTGGGCTGTGTAAATTAATGAGGCAATGCACCACTATACCGGGAGGAAATAAGAAATGTGGCCCAAGCCAGGATAAGAAACACTGTAGCGGTTATATGTAAAGTAGATAAATGCACAGAAGTAAATGAATAAAATTAAACATGTGGTATCTCTTCCAAAAGAATCTGCTTTCCAAATGGCCATAAAGAAACAATTTTGTGCCAGTGCGGAATTTCATTTGTTTTCATTAACTCCTCAGAGTTGCAGCCACAGAGAGAGGAGAGACACAGGGAGGAGGACCACGTGGAGCCCCCAGAGCACTTCCGGAAATGCCATCCTCTCTGCGGGGCCCATCATTACTCGGAGTGGTAAGAGTGCCCCTCCTTTTGTGTGTAGTAATAGCCCAAAATGGCTTGTTAGTTGGCTTCTAAGGAGAACACAAAGTGGTTCCTAAAGAGTGCTAATTAACTGTAAGACAAGATAAACTGCTAAACAACTTTAATTTCACAGTAGTTTCCTGTTTACTCAGCTTATGCAAAGGGCAATATTGTCTTTATCACATTCCCCTTTATGGAGAGGAGAGAGAAAGGAGAGAGAGAGGGGGGGAGGGAGGGAGGGAGGGAGGGAGGGGAAGAGAGAGAGAGAGAGAGAAAGTATACTATCCTGGACAGTTTCACTTGCCCTTCCCAATTCACTCCACTTTTCCCACCCTGCCCTCTGCCCCTGATAGACCTGTGTGAACTTGGTCTATAGGCAGCCTTGCCATCCAGTTTTTGGTTGGGCTTGGCCAATAGGTGGTGCTGTCAGAGAATGGCAGTGAAGTCCACCCAGCTCCTGCCAGACAACTCTCTCCACAGAGCTGGTCTCAGAGCTGGTCCCTCCCCTTCACCCATTGCTGGATTAACTTTACTTTCTCTTGTGAATTCCCTATATTTTTATTAATTGTCCTATTAAATTCTCCTTAAATTGCCCAGTTTGCATACTCTTTTTTTTTTTATATTAGCCCATAAGTCTAATGTTGTATTTCAATTAGATTATCTTTACCTTTTCTTCCATCCCACAGTGAAAAATGTTTTACCTGAAGTAGGTGATTAAGCAAAAAGTGGTTTGGGCCTGAAAAATCCAGACAATTGTTTTATTCACTCCCCTATGTTTGTATCAACATAGCATAAAACAACAACAACAACAACACAACAACAACAACAAAAAACCTAATAGACCTTTTAAATAATACAGACATTTATTAAATATAAAATTTCAAACTTAGTCCACACTCCTGAGGGTTTGGTATGTGTTTTGAATGGTTTGAAAATAACTAGTTAGTGGCTTCTAAAAGGCCCAAATCTTATCTCACCTTAGCTGTCTGAAATAGCTTCCAGAATCACACTGATGGAAACACAGCTCTTGTTGCCAATGATTAGGAATGCTTTGGGGTTGGTACAATAAAAATGTTTTTATTTCTATAGAATGTGGTTAGTGTCAGTTTGCTCTGAGGAAAGAACCTTGAAAGGTGAATAGATGGCTTTTCTTCTTGTTAACCTCCTTGTCTTCGTTTTTACTGGAACCAAATTTAATTAATTTATTCTGTAATTTAAATATTACACACTTCAAATAATTAGCTAGAGTAAGATAATTTTTAAAAACACCAAAATTTCTATAGATTGGCAAGTAGAAGTTTCTAAATAGCTAACCAGCGATTCAGGTTTGTAAGCTTCACCTACATCATATCTAGTCATCCAAAATATCTATGTTAAAAACTTAACGAACTAATTAATGTCTTTAATCACAACCCCACTAATGTCATGCGGGATTTCTTCCTTTCTAAGTTCAACTTGTTTTTACCTCATGGGTGATATTTATTCCCAGCACACTGAAGTTATCTCTTCGTCATCTCTGGCTCTCCACTGGCAAAGCTCCCAAAGGATTATGTTCAAACATTATAAATCCCCTTCCTTCCTCTCTCACTCTCTGTGACTTTATTTTTTAAATAATTTAGATAAATAGTAATAGGACATTTCTCAATTTTTGGTGCTCATGGTGGTCTCCTGAAAATGTATTTAGTTACTAATTAATATTTTAAATTCCATGTAAACACAGAATTTAGGAAATCAAACTGTATCCATCCACAGGCAAATCCAATATAAACTTAATGTCCTGCTTAATGACCAAGGCAACCTTCTTTCCTTAGTTTCACTTTATTTTTACCGTAAGTCAGCTAGAATTCATCTCTCCAGCTCCTGTGGCCGATTTTATAGAGAGAAGACCAATTTCAGGCTTGATTTGCTCTGGTCAAACCTCTCTGATACTTGGAAGGTTTGCTCTTTTTTACTCATTGAACCACTCCTTTTCCCTAGACATTTGGCTTAGGTCAAGTTTAATAAGATGTTAAACCTTAGAACTTTTGTTTTGTTTTGTGTTTTAATGAGATCAAATCCATTCTGGTTATTTTTATCCAACATTGTTATATCATTTGGTTAGTTGATTTAGGAAAATATTTACATCCTCAAAATTTGAATATCTATAAAAGTCCTGAAGTGTTATTCTTTTAAGCTCCCAAATATTAAAACTATTTGATAGGAAAATGCTTATCATGGGGTACAATTCTGGAAATTTAAAGGTATTATCACTGAAAAACAATAGTAATAAATAGTCTGTTTACATAAATTCCAAGGGAGAAGTCCAAGACAAACTCTTGTTCAACCAGTATCATTGAGTATTTTTGGTAACTAATAATTCACCCAAGTGAATTTATTTAGCCCCTATAAGGAATAGGCACTCTGGTTGAAATTTGGAATACAATATAAAACAGGCCACAGTCTGCTCTCAGTAATCTCAGAATTCAAAGGTAGAGATAGACTATGAACAAACATAACAGGTTGGAAAGTAAAAAGTTTGAAGGCTCTGAACTTGATATATGTGGTTCCTTTTACTATATAGGTAATTGGAAAAAAAAATTTTAATAGCTTGTGCCTGGTTGGTGTAGCTCAGTGGACTGAGCATCATCCCATGGACCAAGAGGTCCCAGATTCAATTCCCAGTCAGGACACATGCCTAGGTTGCAGACTAGATTCCCAGTGGAGGGTGTGTAGCAGGCAGCTGATTGATGTGCCTCTTTCTTTTTTTTTTTTTTTTAAAATATTTTTTATTGATTTTTTACAGAAAGGAAGGGAGAGAGATAGAGAGTTAGAAACACAGATGAGGGAAAGTCATCGATCAGCTGCCTATTGCACACCCCCTACTGGGGATGTGCCCTTAACCAAGGTACATGCCCTTGACCGGAATCGAACCTGGGACCTTTCAGTCTGCAGGCTGAGGCTCTATCCACTGAGCCAAACGGGTTTCGGCTGATGTGCCTCTTTCATGGATGTTTCTGTCTCTCTCCTTTTCTCTTCCTCTCTGAAATCACTAACATATATATTAAAAATAGCTTGTGTTAAGAAAGAAAACTCTTCATTTTGCATATATCTTTTTACTAATGTTCTCCCCCTCCCCCCCATTTATTTCAACTACTTATATGAAAGAAAAGCAGACTATGATAAGTTATCTGCTACTTCTGGCTTTGGAACAGCTGTGACATTGCTGTGACCACTTTTCTCCTATTGGTCCTCAGCTAACATTGTGTTTTTGAAGAACCCATCAAGTTTAGTATTCTAATCTGATCTAATTCCAAAGGTCTATTTTGGCAGATATGTCTCTTAAGAACAAGAGGACATGAAAAACAAACAAACAAAAAACAGGAGTGTGGCCCTAGCCTGTTTGGCTCAGTGGGTAGAGCATCAGCCCAGAGACTAAAGGGTGGTCCATGCATGTGGGGGAGGCAACTAATTGATGTGTCTCTCTTACATCATGTTTTTCTCTCTGTGTCTCTCCTCCTTTCTTCCACTCTCTCTAACAACCAATTAAAAAATATCCTTGAGTGAGGATTAACAAAAATATAGAAACATAATTTAAAAAAATACACAGGAGTGTGTGGTGACAAATATTTTCTGGAAAATGTCTACCTCCCCTTTCTGGGCTCAATGGAGCTTTGATTTTTTTTCTGTTTTCTTTTTTAATTACAATGATACTAATATTGCTGGGCATCAGAAACAGCAGCCAGATTAAATTATTTTCTCTACACTTATCCAATATCAAATACAATTCCATACAATATTCTAGTATCACATGCTTTGATTTCAGCCATCTGCCAAACGTAGGATGCTTCCGGTTTCAGAGTCCTTGAACCTGGAGCTGGTATGGCCCATGTGGCCTTGTGTCCCCACAGAGATTTTGTTCATAGCCAAGCCTTTGTGGGTGACACCTGGGATATTGTTCTTACATAAATGTTGGAGATAATGTGGGAGAGGAGGGGATATTCTGACTTTTCTTATTAACCTAAGGGTGCAGAAAATAGTTGGTGTAACTTTTGCCTAATTTGGGTCATATAGGAGAAAGGAGCTTTCTGTTTTGTTTTTTTGTTTGTTTTTTTGTTTTTTTTGTTTGTTTTTTTTTTAACAGAAACATGTTTTAGAGCCAATGAGTTTGATTTCTAAACAAAGAATAACTGTTAGAAAAAATGTTAGAGTGTTATATATTCTTCTTCATGTTCCAGGGAGGCAGTTTGTCTTCAGAAAAGAGTCATGTGGACCTTTTGGATGAATTAATCCCAGTTCCTTCATCCCATCTCTTTCCACGAGAAGGAAGTGTCTATAAAATGGTGTTGTTGGAGGTTAGGATTTTCCTAAGGGTGCCTTATAAGGAAAATTGGAGCTGTTTTTCTTTTTGTCCTATAGCAATGCACCGCACCATTCTAAAGATTCCTGAGAATGTGTGCTCTATTAATTTTGGGCATTGCTCGTCAGGGATCAAACAGAGGAGCCATCATTTCTGCCAAGACTCACATGTCTAAAAAGAAATGGCATCAGATGTTTTATAAATATCTCACCGAGTTCTCCCATCAATGATTTTAAATACTGATCTTAGAGTTTTGTACTTTGAGATATTCATCTCTGACTAAAAATATTTTTTCATACTTGGCTAGTTTATATTATTTTAGAAACAGGAGGCTGAAACTGAGCGTTTACTTTAAACACATGTTTACTTTATCAAAGAGGCTGTGACAGATGGAAGTTTCTTCATCTGTAAAGTGGGGGTAGCAGTCATAGCTAATCCATATGGCTATTATGAGGATTAAATATGATAACATACAAAACAGCACTTTATAAACTGTATGGCACTACTTGCACATTAATTGTCATAATATTTATACTCCAAAATCTGTCAACTGCACTCATTTTATGGTTCAAATAACAAACAGTCACAGATGCACACACAACCACATATTTAAATATAAATACAAAGTTCACTCATTGTACAAGCTTAGGGTTAATTGCTATATGATTACTAAACAGGTAACAAAAATTGTGAAGCCAAGTGAATGTGTTCATTGCATCTATTATTATGTTTGCCAGGAAAAAGTGAAACATCAACAGCTTCCCAGATGCAAATTAACCTACAATTCAAGCTTAGACTTCATGTTTCCCTTTCAGTTAATTATTAAGTGTGAATTTATCTTCTTGGAATGTAAAATGATGCTTTTGCTGATTTCGATGGGCAAATTGGCAACACTTAAAATAGAGCAGCACTAAATAATGAATATTTCTCTGTAACAGAATAACAAATGGCAGGCTATAGGGCTATAAAAAATGTAATAACTGTTAACAATTACTGCCCCCACTAACATGACTAAAGAGATAATGATGAAACAAAGCTGGCAGAAAAGAATACAGAACAGTATATTTTGCAATTATATTTGTGGCAGAGAATGGGCTTGGGGAACAGATAGATGATGAAATTTTTCACATGTGGGATGGAAAATTGGAAAGCAGAATGGTTTAGGAGAATTTTTATTATCGATTGCCTTCCCCATGGAGCTTGTGGGTGAAGGTGAAGAGACATGTTGGTAAAAAGTAATTATAGAATTGTAATAAACATAGATAAATATTTGGAGACCCAATATTGGTATTCTTTTTTTCCCCCCTTCCAGATGAGACTCCAACCAACAACTCACAGCTTGGTAAGATAATTAACATATACTGAAACTGAAATTATTTTTTAAATTTTAAAGTTTTTTTGGTGATCAGTTGCAAATTCATAATCAACTAAATATATTACAAGTTTATTATATTTTAAGTAACAGTTCACTGAGGATTTCTGAATTTATATGTAACCTGTTGGTCAGGTTTTGTTGAATTTTATAGATGACTATTATTTTTTGATACTCTGAGGCTACCAAACTTCAAAACAATATAAACCCTTGGTTATTTAATTTTAAAATAGTCACATAGATTGTTGCTTGATCTAGTGTCATGCTTTTATTCTATAAGATACCGATGGCAGATGCTTGCATATATGCAGGGATAAGGTAATGTGAATCTAACATTGGGCCTTTCCACTGTGTTTGTCTTATTACTTACAGGTTCTCCAAATCAACCACCATTCCAGCTGAATGCCGTCACCAGCGCACTGATATCAGGAATGGTCATTCTGGGTGTCATGAGCTTTTCGCTACTCTTGTGCTCACTGACTCTTCTGCACAAGAAGGCACCCAACAGTTTGGTGTTGAATAGCATAAGGAACCCAGTCTTTGACTGACTGCAACAGGTTCTGGCTCTGGAGAGAAGGCTCACTGTGTGACCGCAGTCTGTGCTCCATCTGAAATGGATGTGAGCCAGCACTTGATATTTGTAGGTTTGGTAGATTTCACAGTGTAGCTCTTCAGCGTGATGCTAGTGAAAGAATTTTGATAATATTGCTGTTGTCTCTTATGGATGTGGTCAGCCATATTTGTATGGCACCAATGATTATACTGACAATAAGCAAATAACATTCAGGATTTATATCTTACAAGATAAGTCATATTTTATTTTATTTCAATTTTCTTTTGATTATTGGTTATAGAGATAAAAGATAGAAATAGAAAAAAATGAATTTTTTATATTTTACCCAATAAACATTAAAACCCAATGTGCTGGCATTTAGATTTGCATTCCTGAAATGAAAGTTGTTTTTGTTTTATTCCAGATGATTTCGCTTGGGAATATACTTTCATTGAATTGGCCAATTTAGACATCTGAGATTTAACTACTCATTCTATGACCTCCTGTTTTTTGGGATGATTTCTCAAATCAACATTAATTTTTCTAGAAAAACTTTTGGGAAATGTATCTTTTAAAAAAAAGTATTGAATTTATTGGGGTGACATTAATAAAATTAAATAGGTTTCAGGTGTACATTATCTGTATATTGTGTTGTGTGTTCACCACCCCTAATCAAGTCTCCTTCCATCACCGTTTATCCCCCTTTACCCTTTTCTAGTTCTTCCTCCACCTCTCTTTCCCACTGGAAATCACTATATTCTTTTCTGAGTCTATGAGTGTTTTGTTTTTTCTTTGCTTAATCCCTTTACATTTTTTTTACCTAGTTGTGGAGTATCCATTTCTGATCAAACAGTAAAAATACTTTTCAACCTCTGAAAGATACTAAGTGCCCATAGACCAGTATTCCTTTGGCTGTGATCAGTTTCCCCAAGTCAGCATGTGTTGGCTCTTCTCCAGCAGCTATGCTTCCAGCAGTGAGACAACTACAAAGATTACTTTTAACTCAAGAACCATTATTTGAGAAAGCAAGCTGTAGTTGTGGGAAGAGGACCTAGTCCCCAAATATAAGGAGAATGTTCCTATGTGGGATTTTAATGATCTTGGTCCTTTTATTTCTCTCCTAGATCAAAGTGAAAATAGGTTAAATATATTTTGCATATCTTTGTTGGAATCTCCAAAAAATATGTTTCTTTCCCACAAATTTCTAATGCTAACAAAACTGTGGAGTAGGCTTTATTTTAAAAGAGTCTTCTTGAAAGTGTCATAATTGCTATAGAATTAACAGTATTTTCTCCTAATAATAAGCTGCAAGAAGCATTGGACACTTTACAGTTTTGCTAAAGTTTTAAAATTATATTTTATTGATTTTTACAGTGAGGAAGGGAAAGGAATAGAGAGTTAGAAAAATCCATCAGCTGCCTCCTGCATACCCCTTACTGGGGATGTGCCCACAACCAAGGTACATGCCCTTGACCAGAATCAAACTGGGACCCTTCAGTCCTCAGGCCGACACTCTATCCACTGAGCCAAACCGGTTAGAGCCAGTTTTGCTAAAATTTTAAAAAGCCAAGTTTTAAGCAGTCTCTGTTCTTACAAGAAGAAAACACATAACCCCGCACCAAAAAAACAAAAACAAAAAAAACAACAACCTTCCCTTTGTTCAAGCTATCCACACAATTGAACAAATAAAATAATTCAGTAACAAACACCATAACCTAGAAATGCTGTGTTAACTATAAAAATTTTTGAAGAAACTAATTTCTATTCAACATCTGTGACCCATTTTTCAGTACTTAAATTACTATACTACATGCAAGTCACTACGAAATTTAGATTTGACTCAAATAAAGTATCTGTATTTTTTTGGTTGTTTTTTTATTAACATTTTTTAATGTTGACACTATGGCAGGTTTCTTCCCTTTTCACCCTCTTTGCCTACTTCCACCCACCCCCACGTCTCCTACGTTGACCTTCACTAAATTATTGTCTGTGTCCCTGGGGTACATATATGTTCTTTGGCTAATCCCTTCACCTTCGTTATCTAGCCTCCACCTCCTCTTCATCATGGGACAGTCTGTAAGTACTGACACTCTTAAATTAATAATTAAATAAATCATCAGAAAGCACTAAAGAAAGTGCTTTTCTTCCAATTTGCCTGAATAGTTCAGAAGTGTTTATGTTACAATATTTAGCTATATAAAGGTCTCAACTTTCTCTTTCAATGTATAGGCATAATCAGATTGACATGGGATCTGAAAAGTCTCTGGATAATTTTTCAATATTAAGTCTACTACTTAAAAAGCAAATCTTCTCTGTAATTCTTCACAACACCTTTGATGTGACTTTCTGAATTATATCTGTGTTAGCAAATTTATTTTCTAATATAAAGGGAAAAATTGTGCAAAAAGAAAAATATGGACAATGGTACTTATGTGACCCTAAGTGTATGTAGATCATAGTGAAATATTCTGGAAAATCTCTATTTCAGAATTGCCATTGGCCTGAGGATTAAATCCTATGAATAGGACATAATATCATTGCCACTAGTTTGTCAGTTTGATTTTTGTGTTTTAGTATGGCTACTGTTTCAGCTATTGACCTTTTAACTTATGTACACCACATTGTAAAACTGAATAACAGGCATAACATCTTTCAAGCAACTTAAATCTCATATTATTTTTTGCCACCCTTTCTGCATAAAGCGGAACTTTTATATATCTTTGTTCTTATAAACCTGCTGTTGCATGTAGTATGTAGCTATACTAACTATTCTGGTTACTATAGTGTGGAAACCTTACAGAATATGTGCAAATGTTCCTTCAGTTTTAATACCTCAGACTGTTGTTTGCACTTCAGGGGTAAGGTGTGATGACATGTAAAAAATGATTGTTTAATAAAATAATTGTAAATGCATTTTGTTAAAATAGTGACATTAAAAAAGGATAATTCTTCTTTCTATTACTTTTTAAAATTATTTGCTATTTTTTATTTATTATCTAAAGTTTTACACATGTCTCTTTTCCCCCCAATTGACACCCCTCTCCCTCAGACATTTCTACTCCGGGCAAGCCCCCACAACCCCAGTGTCTGTGTCCATTGGTTATGCTAATATGAATGCATACAAGTTCTTTGGTTGCTCTCTAACCTACCACCATCCCCTACCATTTGTCTCTGGATCTATTCTTGTTCATCAAATTTTGTTGATCAGTGTATTCCACATATGAGTGAGATCATGTGATATTTATCTTTCTCTTACTAATTTATTTCACTTAGCATAATGCTTTCTAGTACCATCCATGCTGATGAAAATGATAAAGTTTCTTATTTTATATGGCAGCCTAGTATTCCATTGAGTAAATGTACCTTAGTGTTTTAATCCACTCATCTGCTGATGGGCAGTTAGGTTGTTTCCAAATTATAGCTATGGTAAATTGTGCTGCTATGAACACAGGGATATATATATACTTTCTGATTGGTATTTCTGGTTTCTTAGAATATAGTCTTAGAAGTGGAATGACTGGGTCAAATTGGAGTTCCATTCTCAACTTTTTAAAAAAAATATATTTTATTGATTTTTTACAGAGAGGAAGGGAGAGAGATAGAGAGCTAGAAACGTCGATGAGAGAGAAACATTGACCAGCTGCCTCTTGCAGACTCCCTACTGGGGATGTGCCCACAACTCGGGTACATGCCCTTGACCAGAATTGAACCTGGGACCTTTCAGTCAGCAGACCGACGCTCTACCACTGAGCCAAACCGGTTTTGGCCTATTCTCAACTTTCTGAGGAAACTCCATACTGTCTTCCACAGTGGCTGAACCAGTCTGCATCCTCACAAGCTGTGCAGGAGGTAGGATTAGTTCTTCATTGAATGGTTTGTAGAACTCTCTTTTAAAGCTCATCCAGACTAGGGCTTTTGTTTGCTGGAAGATTTTTTTATTGCTATTTCAATGTCTTCAGTAGTTATCAGCCTATTCAGGTTTTTTTATTCTTCTTGGTTGAGTTTTGGGAGCTTTTATTTTTCTAAGAATATGTCCATTTCGTCTAGGTTGTCCATTTTGTTGGAATAGAGTTATACATAGTATTTTTTTCATAATCATTTTTATTTCTGTGGGATCGGTTGTTACTTTCATTTCTGATTTTGTTTATTTGGGTCCACTCTCTTTGCTTCTTGGTGAGCCTGGCTAGAGATTCATCAATCTTATTTATCTTTTCTAAGAACCAGCTCTTGGTTTTTTTAATCTTTTGTATATTTTTCTCTATGTCATTTATATCTGCTCTGATTTTTATTATTTTCTTCCTTCTGCTTACACTGGGCTTTTCTTGTTGCTCTATTTCTAACTCTTTGAGTTGTGGGGAGTTTTAGGGTTAGATTATTTATTATATTATTTTTTTGTTTTTTAAGGTAGGCCTGTTAGCTATGAACTTTTTTCTCAAGAGTGCTTTCATTGTGTCCCATAGATTTTGGATTGTTGTATTTTCATTGTTGTTTGTTGCCATGATACTTTTTATTTCTTCTGTGATCTCTTTGGTAACCCAATCATTGTTTAATAGCATGCTACCTAGCATCCAGGCGTTTAATTTTTTTTTTTTTATTGTAGTTGGTTTATAGTTTTATGCCATTGTAATCTGAGAAGATGCTTGATATGATTTACATCTTCTTGAATTTGAAGATATTTTGCCTGTGTCCCACTATGTGGTCTGTCTTTGAATATAACCCATGTGCACTTGAGAAAAATGTATATTCTGTGGCTTTGGGGTGAAATGTTCTGAAGGTGTCAATTAATTCCATCTGATCTAGTGAGTCATTTAGGATTGATGTTTCTTTGCTGATTTTTTTCTTTAGAGGATTTGTCCATGGTGCTACTGTGGTATTAAAGTCCCCTACTATGACTGTATTGTTGTCAATATCTCCCTTGATATCCTCTAGAAGTTCTTTTACGTATTTAAGTGCTCCTGTATTGGGTGCATATATGTTCCTGTATTGGGTGCATTA